CTGGTACTGCCGCCACTACTGGTACTGCCGCCACTACTGGTACTGCCGCCACTACTGGTACTGCCGCCACTACTGGTACTGCCGCCACTACTGGTACTGCCGCCACTACTGGTACTGGTACTGCCGCTACTACTGGTACTGCCGCTACTACTGGTACTGCCGCCACTACTGGTACTGCCGCCACTACTGGTACTGCCGCCACTACTGGTACTGCCGCCACTACTGGTACTGCCGCCACTACTGGTACTGCCGCCACTACTGGTACTGCCGCCACTACTGGTACTGCCGCCACTACTGGTACTGCCGCCACTACTGGTACTGCCGCCACTACTGGTACTGCCGCCACTACTGGTACTGCCGCTACTGGTACTGCTACTGCCACTACTGTACTGCCGCTGCACTACTGGTACTGCCGCCACTACTGGTACTGCCGCCACTGGTACTGCCGCCACGCTGGTACTGGCCACTACTGGTACTGCGCCACTACTGGTACTGCCGCCACTACTGGTACTGCCGCCACTACTGGTACTGCCGCCACTACTGGTACTGCCGCCGCTACTGGTACTGCCGCTACTACTGGTACTGCCGCCACTACTGGTACTGCCGCTACTGGTACTGCCGCTACTGGTACTGCCGCCACTACTGGTACTGCCGCCACTACTGGTACTGCCGCCACTACTGGTACTGCCGCCACTACTGGTACTGCCGCTACTACGCCACTACTGGTACTGCTACTGGTACTACTGGTACTGCTGCCACTACTGGTACTGCCGCCACTACTGGTACTGCCGCCACTACTGGTACTGCCGCCACTACTGGTACTGCCGCTACTACTGGTACTGCCGCTACTGGTACTGCCGCTGCTACTGCGCTACTGGTACTGGTACTGCCGCCACTACTGGTACTGCCACTACTGGTACTGCCGCCACTACTGGTACTACTGGTACTGCCGCCACTACTGGTACTGCCGCTACTACTGGTACTGCCGCCGCTACTACTGCCGCCCACTACTGGTACTGCTACTGGTACTGCCGCCACTACTGGTACTGCCGCCACTACTGGTACTGCCGCCACTACTGGTACTGCCGCTGGTACTGCCCACTACTGGTACTGCCGCCACTACTGGTACTGCCGCCACTACTGCTACTGGTACTGCTACTGGTACTGCCGCCACTGCTGGTACTGCCGCTACTGGTACTGCCGCCACTACTGGTACTGCCGCCACTACTGGTACTGCCGCCACTACTGGTACTGCCGCCACTACTGGTACTGCCGCCACTACTGGTACTGCCGCTGCTACTGCCACTACTGGTACTGCCGTCGCTACACTACTGGTACTGCCGCCACTACTGGTACTGCCGCCACTACTGGTACTGCCGCCACTAATGGTACTGCCGCCACTACTGGTACTTCCGCCACTGTTGGTACTGCCGCTGCTACTGCCGTCGCTACACTACTGGAACTGCCGCCACTACTGGTACTACCGCCACTACTGGTACTACCGCCACTACTGGTACTGCCGCTACTACTGGTACTGCCGCCACTACTGGTACTGCCGCCACTACTGGTACTACCGCCACTACTGGTACTGCCGCCACTACTGGTACTACCGCCACTACTGGTACTGCCGCTACTACTGGTACTGCCGCCACTACTGGTACTGCCGCCACTACTGGTACTGCCGCCACTACTGGTACTGCCGCTACTAATGGTACTGCCGCCACTAATGGTACTACCGCCACTACTGGTACTGCCGCTACTACTGGTACTACCGCCACTACTGGTACTGCCGCCACTACTGGTACTGCCGCCACTACTGGTACTGCCGCTACTACTGGTACTGCCGCCACTACTGCCACTACAGGTACTGCCGCCACTACTGGTACTGCCGCCACTACTGGCACTGCCGCCACTACTGGTACTGCCGCCACTACTGGTACTGCCGCCACTACTGGTACTGCCGCCACTACTGGTACTGCCGCCACTACTGGTACTGCCGCCACTACTGGCACTGCCGCCACTACTGGTACTGCCGCCACTACTGGTACTGCCGCCACTACTGGTACTGCCGCCACTACTGGTACTGCCGCCACTACTGGCCGCCACTACTGCCGCCACTACTGGTACTGCCGCCACTACTGGTACTGCCGCCACTACTGGTACTGCCGCCACTACTGGTACTGCCGCCACTACTGGTACTGCCGCCACTACTGGTACTGCCGCCTACTGGTACTGCCGCCACTACTGGTACTGCCGCCACTACTGGTACTGCCGCTGCACTACTGGTACTGCCGCCACTACTGGTACTGCCGCCACTACTGGTACTGCCGCCACTACTGGTACTGCCGCCACTACTGGTACTGCCGCCACTACTGGTACTGCCCACTACTGCCACTACTGGTACTGCCGCCACTACTGGTACTGCCGCCACTACTGGTACTGCCGCCACTACTGGTACTGCCGCCACTACTGGTACTGCCGCCACTACTGGTACTGCCGCCACTACTGCCCGCCACTACTGGTACTGCCGCCACTACTGGTACTGCCGCCACTACTGGTACTGCTGCCACTACTGGTACTGCCGCCACTACTGGTACTGCCGCCACTACTGGTACTGCACTACTGGTACTGCCGCCACTACTGGTACTGCCGCCACTACTGGTACTGCCGCCACTACTGGTACTGCCGCCACTACTGCTGCTGCCACTACTGGTACTGCCGCTGCTACTGCCGCTACTGGTCCTGGTACTGCTGCCACTACTGGTACTGCCGCCACTACTGGTACTGCCGACACTACTGGTACTTCCGCCACTACTGGTACTGCCGCCACTACTGCCGCTACTGGTACTGCCGCTACTGGTACTGCCGCCACTACTGGTACTGCTGCCACTACTGGTACTGCTGCCACTACTGGTACTGCCGCCACTACTGGTACTGCCGCCACTACTGGTACTGCCGCCACTACTGGTACTGCCGCCACTACTGGTACTGCTGCCACTACTGGTACTGCTGCCACTACTGGTACTGCCGCCACTACTGGTACTGCCGCCACTACTGGTACTGCTGCCACTACTGGTACTGCCGCCACTACTGGTACTGCCGCCACTACTGGTACTGCCGCCACTACTGGTACTGCTGCCACTACTGGTACTGCCGCCACTACTGGTACTGCCGCCACTACTGGTACTGCCGCCACTACTGGTACTGCCACCACTACTGGTACTGCCGCCACTACTGGTACTGCCGCGACTATTGGTACTGCCGCTGCTACTGCCGCTACTGGTACTGCCGCTGCTACTGCCACTACTGGTACTGCCGCTGCTACTGCCACTACTGGTACTGCCGCTGCTACTGCCACTACTGGTACTGCCGCTGCTACTGCCACTACTGGTACTGCCGCTGCTACTGCCACTACTGGTACTGCCACTGCTACTGCCGCTACTGGTACTGGTACTGCTGCCACTACTGGTACTGCCGCTGCTACTGCCGCTACTGGTACTGGTACTGCTGCCACTACTGGTACTGCCGCCACTACTGGTACTGCCGCCACTACTGGTACTGCCGCCACTACTGGTACTGCCGCTGCTACTGCCGCTACTGGTACTGCCGCTGCTACTGCCGCTACTGGTACTGCCGCTGCTACTGCCACTACTGGTACTGCCGCTGCTACTGCCACTACTGGTACTGCCGCTGCTACTGCCGCTACTGGTCCTGGTACTGCCGCCACTACTGGTACTGCCGCCACTACTGGTACTGCCGCCACTACTGGTACTGCCGCTGCTACTGCCGCTACTGGTACTGCCGCTGCTACTGCCGCTACTGGTACTGCCGCTGCTACTGCCGCTACTGGTACTGCCTCTGCTACTGCCGCTACTGGTACTGCCGCTGCTACTGCCACTACTGGTACTGCCGCTGCTACTGCCGCTACTGGTCCTGGTACTGCTGCCACTACTGGTACTGCCGCCACTACTGGTACTGCCGACACTACTGGTACTTCCGCCACTACTGGTACTGCTACCACTACTGGTACTGCTGCCACTACTGGTACTGCCGCCACTACTGGTACTGCCGCCACTACTGGTACTGCTGCCACTACTGGTACTGCCGCCACTACTGGTACTGCCGCTACTACTGGTACTGCCGCTACTACTGGTACTACCGCCACTACTGGTACTGATGCCACTACTGGTACTGCCGCCACTACTGGTACTGCCGCCACTACTGGTACTGCCGCCACTACTGGTACTGCCGCCACTACTGGTACTGCCGCCGCTACTGCCACTACTGGTACTGCCGCCGCTACTGCCACTACTGGTACTGCCGCCACTACTGGTACTGCCGCCACTACTGGTACTGCCACCACTACTGGTACTGCCGCCATTACTGGTACTACCGCCACTAGTGGTTCTGCCTCCACTACTGGTACTGCCGCCACTAATGGTACTGCCACTACTACTGGTACTGCCGCCACTACTGGTACTGCCGCCACTACTGGTACTGATGCCACTACTGGTACTGCCGCCACTACTGGTACTGCCGCCACTACTGGTACTGCCGCCACTACTGGTACTGCCGCCGCTACTGCCACTACTGGTACTGCCGCTGCTACTGCCGCTACTGGTACTGCCGCTACCGGTACTGCCGCTACTGACGCCGCTACTGCCGCTACTGGCGCCACTACTGGTACTGCCGCCACTACTGGTACTGCCGCTACCGGTACTGCCGCTGCTGGTACTGGTGCAGGGGAGTAACGTGCGCGACAAAGAGGGCCGCGCACCAGCACGCGGCCACACTTAAGACGCCCCAAAAGCATATCATTTAAATTCCTTGAGAAAGTCTTCCAAACGACACCAATGAATTACGTTTAATCTCCATCAAGGGGACAAAAAACCGAGCTGAGTCGTCTTCGGACGCGGCCTCGAAGTGCCTCTCAAATCACAAGGTCTTAACGGCCCGCCTCACGCGCCTCTAACACGGCCATTATCACCCTTATTACAAGGTCAAGTTCGGCCCATTGTGCCACGCCGCCCACCGCCCGGGTTACGCCCACCACAATGACCTCTCACTTCCGCCTCTTTTAGGCGTTTAACTCCGTAGGTCTGTGGCCATGGTGTGGCCATTGTGTGGCCATGGTGTGGCCATGGTGTGGCCATGGTGTGGCCATGGTGTGGCCATTGTGTGGCCATGGTGTGGCCATGGTGTGGCCATGGTGTGGCCATGGTGTGGCCATGGTGTGGCCATGGTGTGGCCATTGTGTGGCCATGGTGTGGCCATGGTGTGGCCATGGTGTGGCCATGATGTGGCCATGGTGTGGCCATGATGTGGCCATGGTGTGGCCATGGTGTGGCCATGGTGTGGCCATGGTGTGGCCATGGTGTGGCCATGGTGTGGCCATTGTGTGGCCATGGTGTGGCCATGGTGTGGCCATGGTGTGGCCATGGTGTGGCCATGGTGTGGCCATGGTGTGGCCATGGTGTGGCCATGGTGTGGCCATGGTGTGGCCATGGTGTGGCTATGGTGTGGCTATGGTGTGGCCATGGTGATGCCATGGTGTGGCCATGGTGTGGCCATGGTGATGCCATGGTGTGGCCATGGTGTGGCCATGGTGTGGCCATTGTGTGGCCATTGTGTGGCCATGGTGTGGCCATGGTGTGGCCATGGTGTGGCCATGGTGTGGCCATTGTGTGGCCATGGTGTGGCCATGGTGTGGCCATGGTGTGGCCATTGTGTGGCCATGATGTGGTCATGGTGTGGCCAGAGTGGTGCCGTATATGTGTGGGTGTGGCCATGGTGGTGACGTATTCGTGCAGGTGTGGCCATGGTGGTGTCGTATTTGTACGGGTGTGGCCATGGTGGTGCCGTACTTGTGTGGGTGTGGCCATTGTGATGGCGTATTTGAGTAGATGTGGCCATTGTGATGCCGTATTTGAGTAGGTGTGGCCATGGTTTTTCCGTATTTGTGCGGGTGTGGCCATGGTGGTGCCGTATTTGTATGGATGTGGCCATGGTGGTGCCGTATTTGTACGGGTGTGGCCATGGTGGTGCCGTATTTGTGTGGGTGTGGCCATGGTGGTGCCGTACTTGTGTGGGTGTGGCCATTGTGATGGCGTATTTGAGTAGGTGTGGCCATTGTGATGCCGTATTTGAGTAGGTGTGGCCATGGTGGTGCCGTATTTGTGTGGTTGTGGCCATTGTGATGCCGTATTTGAGTAGGTGTGGCCATTGTGATGGCGTATTTGAGTAGGTGTGGCCATGGTGGTGCCGTACTTGTGTGGGTGTGGCCATTGTGATGGCGTATTTGAGTAGGTGTGGCCATGGTGGTGCCGTATTTGAGTAGGTGTGGCCATGGTGGTGCCGTATTTGAGTAGGTGTGGCCATTGTGATGCCGTATTTGAGTAGGTGTGGCCATTGTGATGGCGTATTTGAGTAGGTGTGGCCATGGTGGTGCCGTACTTGTGTGGGTGTGGCCATGTGATGGCGTATTTGAGTAGGTGTGGCCATTGTGGTGCCGTATTTGAGTAGGTGTGACCATGGTGGTGCCGTATTTGAGTAGGTGTGGCCATGGTGGTGCCGTATTTGTGTGGGTGTGGCCATGGTGGTGCCGTATTTGTGTGGGTGTCGACCCCGGGTGACGTACTGGAGTCGTCACTGTCGCCATATAGCCTTCAGCAGTAGGTAAGTGTTCCCTTACTGGGGAACACTTACTGTCCCCCGACTGTCAGTGTCAGGAGGGTCCCCTACTGTCAGTGTCAGGAGGGTCCCCTACTGTCAGTGTCAGGAGGGTCCCCTACTGTCAGTGTCAGGAGGGTCCCCTACTGTCAGTGTCAGGAGGGTCCCCTACTGTCAGTGTCAGGAGGGTCCCCTACTGTCAGTGTCAGGAGGGTCCCCTACTGTCAGTGTCAGGAGGGTCCCCTACTGTCAGTGTCAGGAGGGTCCCCTACTGTCAGTGTCAGGAGGGCCCCTACTGTCAGTGTCAGGAGGGCCCCTAATGTCAGTGTCAGGAGGGCCCCTACTGTCAGTGTCAGGAGGGCCCCTACTGTCAGTGTCAGGAGGGCCCCTACTGTCAGTGTCAGGAGGGCCCCTACTGTCAGTGTCAGGAGGGCCCCTACTGTCAGTGTCAGGAGGGCCCCTACTGTCAGTGTCAGGAGGGCCCCTACTGTCAGTGTCAGGAGGGCCCCTACTGTCAGTGTCAGGAGGGCCCCTACTGTCAGTGTCAGGAGGGCCCCTACTGTCAGTGTCAGGAGGGCCCCTACTGTCAGTGTCAGGAGGGCCCCCTACTGTCAGTGTCAGGAGGGCCCCTACTGTCAGTGTCAGGAGGGCCCCTACTGCCAGTGTCAGCCGGGCCCCCTACTGCCAGTGTCAGCCGGGCCCCCTACTGCCAGTGACAGGAGGGCCCCTACTGCCAGTGTCAGCCGGGCCCCCTACTGCCAGTGACAGGAAGCCCCCTACTGCCAGTGTCAGGAGGGCCCCCTACTGGTGTCAGGAGGGCCTACTGCCAGTGTCAGCCGGGGAGGGCCCCTACTACTGCCAGTGTGTCAGGAGGGCCCCCTACTGCCAGTGTCAGGAGGGCCCCCAACTTCAGGCCCCCTACTGCCAGTGTCAGGAGGGCCCCCTACTGCCAGTGTCAGGAGGGCCCCCTACTGCCAGTGTCAGGAGGGCCCCCTACTGCCAGTGTCAGCCGGGCCCCCTACTGCCAGTGCCAGGAGGGCCCCCAACTTCCAGGGTCAGGAGGGCCCCCTACTGCCAGTGTCAGCCGGGCCCCCTACTGCCAGTGTCAGGAGGGCCCCTACTGCCAGTGTCAGGAAGGTACCCTACTGCCAGTGTCACGAGGGCCCCTTACTGCCAGTGTCAGGAGGGCCCCCTACTTCCAGTGTCAGGAGGGCCCCCTACTGCCTGTGTCAGGAGGGCCCCCATACAGTCGGTGTCAGGAGGGCCCCCTACAGTCAGTGTCAGGAGGGCCCCCTACTGCCAGTGTCAGGAGGGCCCCCTACTGCCAGTGTCAGGAGGGCCCCCTACTGCCAGTGTCAGGTGGGCCCCCTACTGCCAGTGTCAGGAGGGCCCCCTACCAGTACTGCCAGTGTCAGGAGGGCCCCCTACTGCCAGTGTCAGGAGGGCCCCCTACTGCCAGTGTCAGGAGGGCCCCCTACTGCCAGTGTCAGGAGGGCCCTCTATTGCCAGTGTCAGGAGGGCCCCCTACTGCCAGTGTCAGGAGGGCCCCCTACTGCCAGTGTCAGGAGGGCCCCCTACTGCCAGTGTCAGGAGGGCCCCCTACTGCCAGTGTCAGGAGGGCCCCCATACTGTCGGTGTCAGGAGGGCCCCCTACAGTCAGTGTCAGGAAGGCCCACTACAGTCAGTGTCAGGAGGGCCCCCTACAGTCAGTGTCAGGAGGGCCCCCTACTGCCAGTGTCACAAGGGCCCCTACTGCCAGTGTCAGGAGGGCCCCTACTGCCAGTGTCAGGAGGGCCCCTACTGCCAGTGTCAGGAGGGCCCCTACTGCCAGTGTCAGGAGGGCCCCTACTGCCAGTGTCAGGAGGGCCCCTACTGCCAGTGTCAGGAGGGCCCCTACTGCCAGTGTCAGGAGGGCCCCCTACTGCCAGTGTCAGGAGGGCCCCTACTGCCAGTGTCAGGAGGGCCCCCTACTGCCAGTGTCAGGAGGGCCCCTACTGCCAGTGTCAGGAGGGCCCCTACTGCCAGTGTCAGGAGGGCCCCTACTGCCAGTGTCAGGAGGGCCCCCTACTGCCAGTGTCAGGAGGGCCCCCTACTGCCAGTGTCAGGAGGGCCCCTACTGCCAGTGTCAGGAGGGCCCCCTACTGCCAGTGTCAGGAGGGCCCCTACTGCCAGTGTCAGGAGGGCCCCCTACTGCCAGTGTCAGGAGGGCCCCCTACTGCCAGTGTCAGGAGGGCCCCCTACTGCCAGTGTCAGGAGGGCCCCCTACTACCAGTGTCAGGAGGGCCCCCTACTGCCAGTGTCAGGAGGGCCCCCTACTGCAAGTGTCAGGAGGGCCCCTACTGCCAGTGTCAGGAGGGCCCCCTACTGCCAGTGTCATGAGGGCCCAATACTACCAGTGTCAGGAGGGCCCCCTACTGCCAGTGTCAGGAGGGCCCCTACTGCCAGTGTCCGGAGGGCCCCCTACTGCCAGTGTCAGGAGGGCCCCCTACTGCCAGTGTCAGGAGGGCCCCCTACTTCCAGTGTCAGGAGGGCCCCCTACTGCCAGTGTCAGGAGGGCCCCCTACTGCCAGTGTCAGGAGGGCCCCCTACTGCCAGTGTCAGGAGGGCCCCCTACTGCCAGTGTCAGGAGGGCCCCCTACTGCCAGTGTCAGGAGGGCCCCCTACTGCCAGTGTCAGGAGGGCCCCCTACTGCCAGTGTCAGGAGGGCCCCCTACTGCCAGTGTCAGGAGGGCCCCCTACTGCCAGTGTCAGGAGGGCCCCCTACTGCCAGTGTCAGGTGGGCCCCTATTGCCAGTGTCAGGAGGGCCCCCTACTGCCAGTGTCAGGAGGGCCCCTACTGCCAGTGTCAGGAGGGCCCCCTACTGCCAGTGTCAGGAGGGCCCCTACTGCCAGTGTCAGGAGGGCCCCCTACTGCCAGTGTCAGGAGGGCCCCTACTGCCAGTGTCAGGAGGGCCCCCTACTGCCAGTGTCAGGAGGGCCCCCTACTGCCAGTGTCAGGAGGGCCCCTACTGCCAGTGTCAGGAGGGCCCCTACTGCCAGTGTCAGGAGGGCCCAATACTACCAGTGTCAGGAGGGCCCCTACTGCCAGTGTCAGGAGGGCCCAATACTACCAGTGTCAGGAGGGCCCCTACTGCCAGTGTCAGGAGGGCCCAATACTACCAGTGTCAGGAGGGCCCCCTACTGCAAGTGTCAGGAGGGCCCCTACTGCCAGTGTCAGGAGGGCCCAATACTACCAGTGTCAGGAGGGCCCCTACTGCCAGTGTCAGGAGGGCCCAATACTACCAGTGTCAGGAGGGCCCCCTACTGCTAGTGTCAGGAGGGCCCCTACTGCCAGTGTCCGGAGGGCCCAATACTACCAGTGTCAGGAGGGCCCCCTACTGCAAGTGTCAGGAGGGCCCCTACTGCCAGTGTCCGGAGGGCCCAATACTACCAGTGTCAGGGGGGCCCCTACTGCCAGTGTCAGGAGGGCCCCCTACTGCCAGTGTCAGGAGGGCCCCCTACTGCCAGTGTCAGGAGGGCCCCCTACTGCCAGTGTCAGGAGGGCCCCCTACTGCCAGGGTCAGGAGGGGCCCCTACTGCCAGTGTCAGGAGGGCCCCCTACTGCCAGTGTCAGGAGGGCCCCCTACTGCCAGTGTCAGGAGGGCCCCCTACTGCCAGTGTCAGGAGGGCCCCCTACTGCCAGTGTCAGGAGGGCCCCCTACTGCCAGTGTCAGGAGGGCCCCCTACTGCCAGTGTCAGGAGGGCCCCCTACTGCCAGTGTCAGGAGGGCCCCCTACTGCCAGTGTCAGGAGGGCCCCCTACTGCCAGTGTCAGGAGGGCCCCCTACTGCCAGTGTCAGGAGGGCCCCCTTGCCAGTGTCAGGAGGGCCCCCTACTGACAATGACAGGAGGGCCCCCTACTGCCAGTGTCAGGAGGGCCCCCTACTGCCGGTGTCAGGAGGGCCCCCTACTGCCGGTGTCAGGAGGGCCCCCTACTGCCAGTGTCAGGAGGGCCCCCTACTGCCAGTGTCAGGAGGGCCCCCTACTGCCAGTGTCAGGAGGGCCCCCTACTGCCAGTGTCAGGAGGGCCCCCTACTGCCAGTGTCAGGAGGGCCCCCTACTGCCAGTGTCAGGAGGGCCCCTTACTGCCAGTGTCAGGAGGGCCCCCTACTGCCAGTGTCAGGAGGGCCCCCTACTGTCAGTGTCAGGAGGGCCCCCTACTGCCAGTGTCAGGAGCGCCCCCTACTGCCAGTGTCAGGAAGGCCCCCTACTGCCAGTGTCAGGAGGGCCCCCTATGGCCAGTGTCAGGAGGGCCCCCTACGGCCAGT